AAATTGGTTCGAGTTCTTGGCCCAAAATGGTTGGATTACTTCAAGAAATGTGTAACCAATCAACTTGCTGTTTTTCCATAAGAACTTCAATTTAATTGGCTACACATTTCTCGGACCAAGAACTTAGACCAATTTCTTGCATCGTGGACACAGGCCTTTAGAAATATCAAATATTTTTACAAGTTGAAAAATATACGATTTATCAGCTTTTATTTTTCTACCTTATCTTTGAATGCATTTCATTTAGCAATGTAAAAACGTGTCATTCTATATATTCATTTTCTAGTAGATATCGAACATAGAATGTCACGTTAACATATGTACATGTTAATACATGTTTTATTCTGTGTTTGACATCCAATGAAAAAGATAGAATAGAAATATATACTTGCGTTAATTTGTACGTTAAATGAAATGTACTCAAAGGCAGGGCAAAATATGGAAGCTGATAAATCGTAAATTTTTTTAGAAATATTCCGTTAAATAGAATACAAAAAAATGTACCTTATTACAACACATACTTGCATACATATACATTTAAAAATTCTATAAAAATATATAATAATTACAAATATTGAATTTATTACATTTCATACATATTAAATATAAAAACCGCTTATAAAATATAAATTGTAATTACCATATAACATATTATTGGCAAAATAATTTTCATAATAATTATTATTATAACGCTTGCAGCTATACAGCTATCGAACATTATTACATCAGATTCCGTAATCTTAAAAATCCTGGCTAATAATTTTTTTTTTTTTAAATAATTTTCTAAAAAATGTTTAAAAAATATGAATAAATAAGAAATTTTTTCTCGGAATTTTTCATAAAATAAAATTATGAAAAATTCTTAAAATTTTCTAGAAAATTATGAGATGTTTTTTCACCAGGGTCTTTAAGATCATAGCATAGAGGCCACAAAATCGTACATCAGTCCTGTTTGTGTATGAATTTTAAACCCCCCACCCCCGGGACAAAATATTTGGTTTGAGAATGCACGCATTGTATGTGATCACAACTTTGCTTCTTGACCTGGCTGAAGGATACCACCTGGCAGAAGGTTCCTTGCCTGTAGGGTCGTTGCCCTATTGGCAAAAGGTTCCTTGCCTGTAGGGTCGTTGCCCTATTGGCAAAAGGTTCCTTGCCTGTAGGGTCGTTGCCCTACAACGACCGTTCGATGGATTAAAATAAGTGTCAACTACCAAAGTGACGTTGAGTTATGTTTTATAGCAAGACAATCGGATTTCAGCGTCGGCAAAAGGCGTGACGACGATTCGGTTTAAAAAATTTTTCTAAAGGTATCAAATAACATCGGGTCCATGAACCAAGGAATATATTATATATATTATAGGAAATATATTATATATATTATAGAATATATTACATATTATATGATATACAGAGTGTTTTAGATCAAACGCAGATCCTTGAAGGGGTGGATAGATTTCGATAACGTGAATAAAAAATGTCCGTACAAGAAAATTGTGAGGTCAATAGTTTTTGAATAAAATGCATTTGAAGTTAACCAATCACGAAGTTCGCATTTTGCGCCGTCAGAAGAATTTATTTCTTATACACAAGCGATTGTTTAAAACAATTGAGTTTTATTTTAATATTTACTAATATGATAGTGTTAATAATAATTTTTAACAATATGTAATTGATGTGGCAGAATGTATTGCAAACGAGAATGATTCATGCCGCGCTGCTCCTGACGGCGCGAAATGCGAACCCCGTGATTGGTTAACTTCAAATGCATTTTATTCAAAAACTATTGATCTCACAATTTTCTTGTACGGACATTTTTTACTTACGTTATCGAGATCTATCCACTCCTTCAAAGACCTGCGTTTGATCTGAAACACCCTGTATAATATAATATACAGGATGTCCCATTTTAAATTACGCACTTGAATATCTCGTCAGGAGAGCCACCAATCAGAAAATAACCCTCACAAAAGTTGTTGGGTTCGGAGGGGGACATCGGATGATGACATTGGTTTAACCTAGGGTGTACATGCCAAGGTCATATGGAGGTCAACTTTGTTTTTTAAATAAAACACCCTATTTTTGATTCCAAAATCTAATAGCTGGTGTCAAGAACTTTTCAAAACACTATAATGAAGTTATTTTTTATTAAGTACTTTTCGAGTTATGAGGCTTGAAAGTTACAGCATTTTGACATAAAATACAAAATATCTTGTAAAACATTCAATTTTTGGGAATTTTACCTTAATTTTTATGCATACTTTTATGCATAAAATAATGAGACGAATCAATTGGTGTAAAGAAAACACATTGGTTTAAAAAAAAAAATGTTGAAGTTTTAGATGGGTGAACAATAGAAAACACGACTATACACGTTGCATGGTATAACTTGACTGACTTATTATTAGCTTCTTACAAAAAGAAAAAGGTGTCCGCGAAGGGGATAACAATACGAGACGCCTAACGGCTTAAAAACAAAACACTAATACAAGGAGCGCTGCAGGACAGAGATATCCTATTCATATAAAAGAAAGCAAAGTAGCGCGAATTATAAGGATAAGACACACAAAATGTGAGAGCTTTCAATTAGTTTTAACAAAAAAGTATACAGTTGCATGTTGCAAATTACATATTTTTTCTTGAAAGCAACTATGTGTTTTCTTTATACCAATTGATTCATCTCATTATTTTATGCATAAAAGTATGCATAAAAATTAAGGTAAAATTCCCAAAAATTGAATGTTTTACAAGATATTTTGTATTTTATGTCAAAATGCTGTAACTTTCAAGCCTCATAACTCGAAAAGTACTTAATGAAAAATAACTTTATTATACTGTTTTGAAAAGCTCTTGACACCAGCTATTATATTTGGAATCAAAAATAGGGTGTTTTATTTAAATAAACAAAGTTGACCTCCATATGACCTTGGCATGTACACCCTAGGTTAAACCAATGTCATCATCCGATTTCCCCCTCCGAACCCAACAACTTTTGTGAGAGTTATTTTCGGATTGGTGGCTCCCCTGACGAGATATTCAGGTGCGTAATTTAAAATGGGACATCCTGTATATAGTATATATCCTATATATTATATAATATATAGGAAATATATTATATATATATATTATAGAATATATTATATATTTTATAGGAATATATTATATAGCCAGCGGGGTTGAAGCCAGAGGGGAAAAACTAGCCGACCAAGATGGCTGTGGGTAACCCGTGTAAGTAAACAAGCGCGAAATTTATAACATATGAATATTATTCATTATACAAGCGCCAAGCCAAGATTAAATTAATAACACCGCCATTTTTCTAGCCGACCAACATGCCGTTGCATGATTTCCCCCTGCCGCTCAGGCTTCACTTCCCCCCGCCAATAAGACCACTTATCGCTCTGTCCATATATTCCTAGGTCCATTGTCAGGTCATACAAAACGAGCTTCTCTCTCCCATTTTGCGCGATCAATAAGCACATTCACAAACACCTGTCTCTCGTTGCTGAAAACTGTGATTATTTTTGGTCTTCGAGCTTAAAATAACCGAGATGTGTCGTACGCTAATTTCTTTCGTGCAAAGGACAAATGTAACAAAGGGCAATTTTACGTTCAATTATCGCGCATTACATTACGTGCGTAATTTTCTTCTGCGAAGAAAAAAAAGGAGCAAATATAAATCGAGTGGAAATAGCAGAGCGTTCTCCGCGGGAAGAATTTCACGACGCTCGCACGTCGATGTGCACCTGGCTGGTATTTGCGGGATTAATCCGCTGCATTCGTGAGAGTGTTGCCGAGACGCGTGATGCCTGGGCATTTCTTTGCATTCTTTCCCTCCGCCTCACGCACAGAGTCCGCGACGGGTCCCGGGTGGGTTTCGTCCCTCCCACACGACGACCACCCGATCGTCGATCTTTCGGGTATTTCTCTTTCTTTCTCCTCCGTCAGAAATTCCTTTCCGATTTATCGTGCATCCACACGAGCAGCCGTAGGCCTATTTATCTAGTTGAAATACACGATCTTGCTTCGTGGACCAAGTCTGCCACTACCTGCCTGCTACCGGCTGGTAGAATCGTTTCGCTATACTCGCCGGACACCTTCGAATGCACGAGCAATTAGTTTGATGTGTTATTTTTTTAATAGAGAGCAGTAATTTTTTTACCTTTCCGAAATAAAATTTATCTAATTAAGTGAGACCTGAAATAACAAATTTAGATGCGACGCTCTTTCGGATACCAATCTCGCTGCAGAATACATAAAACTCGTTTTGCAGACTCCAAATTATCGTAGTAAACGTTGGCACGCACGGTTTCAAGAGACAGACTCAATTAAGAACTAGAAATCGGAGTATCGCGCAGAACGAAGAGTGAGAAAGGCCAGGGAGATTCGCGAAAAAATCGCGACAGAAACATGTACGCGTATTGAAGCGACAAAAAACAAGAATACACACCGCCGTCTGGCAGTAAGAGAAGACGGAGGCTTAGATAGGAGCGCATAATAAAAGTACGAGAGAGAGAGAGAGAGAGAGAGAGAGAGAGAGAGAGAGAGAGAGAGAGAAACAGAGAGAGAAAGAGATTCTCAAGATGAAAACGGAGAGGAGGAAGTGGAGAAGAACAAGAAGCCGGCTGAGAGATACAGGTAGATATATACATACGTATAGATTCAGATGAGGCGCAGAAGACGAAGGAGGAAGAGAGCGGGAAGGAAAGAAGGAGGACGAGAGAGAAGCACGAAAACGAGGAGGTAGGTGCCGGCGGTACCGTGCCTTTCTTCCCCTTGCCACCTTGTTCGCCATGGTCGGAACGGCCGGCCAAAGCGGCGGGGGGTAGCGGAATGGTCCATAGTGTGTGCGATCTCTCGTCGACGAGGTCTGCGACTGGTGTCCAGAGGGGGGAAGGGGGAAAGGAGGGAGCCGCGGCATCGAGGAGGAGGGGGAGGGGAGGGGGAGGGGACCTGGCGACAGACTGGCGGGCGCGCACCTGCACTCGCTCAGCCGCAAGAGAGCCGACACAGTCAGGGGCGCACCTACCAGGCGGCGCAGACTCCGGACTCCACGGACGAAGGAGATACAAATCACGCCGCGGACTGGAGAGCCGGTGCATTCTTCGGTCCGCGCTCTTATCTCCCACACTGGCGCACAGCCCCGTTCCACTTTCAGAACTCGCCCGTCTCATTTTCCACTTTCTTTTTATCTCTCGCCGTCCCACCGCGGCTCCTCCCGGCATTGTCTTCCTCCTTGCGAGACGCCCGTCTTCCTTTCGCAGCGCGTTGTCGATATATACGCCCGCGAGGTATAATCTTTCCGAGTGGCGCGAGTTATTCGAGAAGATATCTTCGCGTCTCACGGGTTTAATTAAAGCGAGGATCCGCAGATTGTCCCCCAGCTGAAAGATAGAAAATGTATTTCATTCAATTTTTCTACAGTTGACGATATAATTGTATTTTCTTAACATAATAATGTGTTCGATAGCGTGTCTATTTATTTTATGTTCAAATAGCAAAAGTAATTTTTTCTCGCACTCTTAAAGTTTCTGGAACTCGTTGTGTCTTGTTACGGACTGTCCGGAAACTTTATGCCTCGTAGATACGATGAAGAAAAATGCAAAATGATTATGTTCATTGAAAATTAACTGCCGCGAACGCCGAAGGAACGTCTGCGCTACGCAGAACTAATTAATTTTATGAAGGATTTTAATAACACTGGCTCTGCTGTCGAGAACGCGGTTTATCGTCGCTGTTAATTCTGCGCATTGAGAGGCACTGCTGTTTTGAAATACATTCGCGTTCACGCGCGTAGAAAGTTCCGAGTCGATGCTCGTCCCCGAGCTTAGGCACTTTGCAATTAGCCGTAATGTTTATTAATTACCCGACGCACGTGGTAGATTCCGTATAATTAGACAGCTGATTTCTAGTCGCGCGTTCTTTTTCACTCTATGCAATCCTTTTGTGCGGCCTGCGTCTCTTACAAAACTCAAAGATTAGCACATTAGCGTGGACTGACGAGAAATCAGCTATGCGCTGAGAAATTAATGACATGCGCAACAAAGAAACAATTTTCTTTCAGTTCACAGAATAATGCGCACTATACAAAACTTAAAAAACTCATCTACGCGCTCCGTATAATAAATTTCAATCTAGAAATCTAGAAATTATATCTAACAGAATTAACGACATTAATTATGTGCGCAAAAAGAGGCCAAACATGACTTGCAATAATTGAGATTTTGATAGCCAGATAAGAGTCCGAAAATATGAGAACATAAATAAAATAAACGTTAAAAAAAAGAACGAAAGCGATATCATCTGTTTATCTGGCGTACACGTTACTTTACAACCGAGTTCGTTCATCAATGGAAATTCTTAAGAGCATGTACGTCGATTAACACGATAAATAATGTGAATTCATTCGCGCCATTGCAGATCACCTTCGGCGGTATTCTTCAGCATTTCATCATGCGCGTTTACATATGCATGTCTTAAAATTCAGGTCACCGATGGCTTCGTGCAGTTTGCTCAGAAATAAGTAAAGTCTCATAATCTCGAATATATTTTTCCGTATAAACCAAGGTTTTCTTCGTGCAATTTTTTAGATATAAAATCATCTGAAGTCAATAACTTCTCGATTTTAAATTATTAATTATCATTTGGAGTAAAGCTGACGGAACATCTTTATCCATAATACATGATGCATCGCAGGATTATTATATAGCGGTAAGTTAAGATATAAACTTCTTTCGAGATCGATACACTTTAATAATGTCGTCTCTAGTAGACGAATAAAAAATTTCTGTATGAAATACAGTATATTAATAATTTTCGCACTTACAACCAGCGATGGCTCTAGATGCTCTCTAATATATATTAATTTGATATCATCACACGAGCCTATCCTTATAATAATTTTATAAACTTCTCTTTTTTTCTAAAAATCTTCCTTTCTAAATCCCGTCAATTGAGCCGGAGAAGGCTCGAGAAGCAATAAAGCGACCATCTTTGATGGAAGGACGTTCATGAATATGAATCGGGAAAGCAATCGCGAAATGAGCGACAGGACGAACCGTTGTAAGCCGTTGCGCGCGATTATGATGTAAGCCCGATTTATTCCGGGCGCATAATGATCGCCGGAGCGGAGTGCGCGACGAATACCTTCACTTTTCACTTCTGTCACTATTGTCCGTGTATCGCGGCAAAATCCTGCTCATTTTCCTGCACGGCATGCGAGATTCCGCGTACACGTCTGACCTTTTCGGTAGATATTTATAAGATCCGTGACGACCGTGATTTTAACGCGAGGTCGTTATGCAAATCGCGTAAGACCCTTCTACTTTATTGCGTTCGTTAAATATCGGGGCTTACGCGCTCGCGGTAGCGCCGCGGCCGATTAGCCGAGTGGCTTTATCTTCCAGCTTTATCGCATTCGACAAGATCAGCAAATTAACAATAAAGTTTAAGCGGTTTATATTGCAATCGTGTCGAGAATAATTACGTTATACTTAATGTTTTTGTACAAACAAGAAGTAATATTAATCTTAATTTTAAGAGAATAAAATTTAATTAATTTTAGAGTTCAATTAATGTAAAATTAAGACCAATACTTTCAACGAGATTCTAATTGTCGTACTGATGCAAAATCAGACTTGTAAGATATGAAATTGCTAATGCTACAAAGGATTGAATGTTACAAGAGATATTTCGAAAGTGCTGGGAAGTAGGATCTGTTTTTGTAGTTCTACGCGTGAAAATTATAATGCAAAATATAAAAAGTGGCAGAACTCAATCGTCCGTAACGCGCGGAGAGTTAATCAGGGCTTACAAGGCGAAACGGAAAAATGTAGGCGATGAATATGCGGTTTCGTTCGAGCGGCAAAATTTATTGCTGCTTTCAGAATTGTCACACGTGCTTAACAGATAACGGTGTGCTCGCCAGGAGATATGTAAGAGATTAAAATGTCACCGTCGCCAATATGCATATTCGCGAACTGACATACATTTTTTTTAATTTTAAAAAGGCACACCCGGTCACTGCGAATCAGATTATAAGTCTTTGAAAAATATTGCAATATATTGTAAAATATTATAAAATAAATAGCGTGTTTTGTAATAACAGTATATTGTAAATTTATAAGAAACAAAATTATAGAAATAAAACATGAAAAAGAAACTTACGTAACTGTTTTTGGATGCAGAAGGATGTGAACATTTCCGGATTAATTGGACAATTGAATGGTAAACACACCTGGCGTAATAATACACGTGTATGTGCCGCATTGCTGTGTCGTGGTGAACTTCGTGATATCGTAAGCACTTGATAACCGTATACACATTAATCTTTCCTCGATGTGTGTGCAACGAGCTAGAAAACAGATAGAAAACATAAGTGGTAGGTAGATATTGGACCGTGATGCAGCATTTTTCGGACAACACTTTGCGTTGTAAATATTTTCTGACGATGGCACAGTTTCGCCGAGTGTAAAAGTCAACTTATGCTGAGTCACGATTCACATGGAACTTTAGAAAAAGATACTTAAGTTTTTGTAAAAGTTTGAATTTTTCCGAAGAATAAAATATAGAAACACGTATGTTCAAATAGCATTCGACTTGTGTCGTAGAACAGTAATTGTAAAATAACGCTTTAAAAAGTAACTTAAAAAATTTAATAATGTCAATATCATTTCTTGCCAAAATTATAAATTTTCTGGTAAGTTTTTCTTGAAATTTACACAATCTTTCCCCCACTGATGCGTATGATAGCTGTACAATAGAAAAAGATTAGAAGATTATTGATAAAAATGATCGAATCTTACTGATAAAACATCACAAAATTGTACATTACGCGATATGTGCACGTTTCGCCTTGATAAATTCGTGCGAACAAAAAAACTACGCATAAAATATGTACATTAATTAAAAAATTATGATATATAGAAATTTCTAAAATTAGTACATTTAATATATCATTCATCGCACATGATTGCAAAAAGATAACGCAAATATGAAAAAAATTTATTTCGCTAAAATTGCAAACATACGATTAAATAAATTGTTTGCAGTACCGCAAAGAAGAATCGCAAACAGAGAGGACTGAAAACTCTCGTCAAGGAACACCCGTTAGTGTAACTGCGTTGATATATTTGAGCGTGCATGTATATGGAAGCATGTACGTGATTATGGAGAACGATCGTTTCGTCTTTTGAACACGTGTGTCTTTATCAGCAGTCATTTTTCTCGTGAGTCACGATAACGGTTTTGCGAAGTGGTTTGTGAAGCATAAATTTTTGCGAAGCATAATTTTCGCTTGGTGATCTCACGGCCTCCTTTGTCAGTTTCTCTTCGTCATTTTTTTACATTTTGCAAAGTCCAATGCAAACTTATTTATATTATTATAACCAACATAACATAACCTAAAACATAAGATGATATACCTTCTGTTACCTTGCTACTAATGCAATCTCTAATCTTCTATTTGAAATCTGAAAAAAAAATTAATATTCTTCAACTAAAATCAGCAAAACAAGTCCGTCGAAAGCAATTCTTATCAAATACAAAACTACAAATTTTCTAAATATTTAAATTATTAATAGAAAATCGAACAGGATGTACATATATTGATTTATAGCTTTGTTCGGGATTCACTGGGGTCCACGGATCCCGCAGAACGCTTCGCGCAGTACATGTATACGCGATTCTCAGTTGTGTGCGGCTCGAGATCCGTGAACCCCTGTCTACAATATGGCGTCACTAGTGCGAGCATATCGAAGTCAAATCGAATGCGAGTTCGATTCGAGTTTCAATAATCGATCGAACTTCATTCTTTCCGATTGCTCGAAACTTTTCTGTCGAAAACAATTGATTGCAGCTATCGATTACTCGCACTAGAATTTAATTCGATACATTTTAATAATTTTTAATATTTCAAATATGTGAGATAAAACAAGATTGAAAAATTAGAGTGCACACAATAATAAATAACAATTAATTATAAATTATGAAATTAATCGATAAATGTTTTAGGTACTTTTTTAACGATTTTTAATTAACAATCACAAATATCAGATAAGCGTTCAGTTAAAAAATGTATTCACGTTTTATCTTATCTCTATGTTATCTTAATGTTCTTGCATTGTTTTGCATTTTTCTGAGATTTTATATCAAGTTAACAAAGATTACAACAGATAAGTTGATTTATTTCGTGTGATATTTTTTTCAATATCTGAAAAACATGTTTTGCGTTATTCAATATACATTCTTCATTACACATTGTGCATCTCATCTACAACATAAAAATGTGAAGTCGTATAGAGGTTACTGTAAGTTGTTCACTAATGATTGAGTCAGTCTCTAAAATAAGCTCGGCACGAAAAGACGTAGGTTCACAGGCCAGCAGCATGTCTTACGGTGCAGTGAATGAGAATATTCTCCAATACGCGAAAGAAAAAAATGTAAGTAAATAAGAAGAAGGGAAGAAGAATCTTGGAGAAGAATGTTTCATTCTTTCTCATCATATCTATATTCAATCGTTATCAGTCATAATAACATTTAATTATTATATTACTTTATCATGTAATCTAGTAACGTTTAGACAACGTTTGCACGTAATTAACGATATCATTTATTATTTGTCATATTTATTTAATGCCATGATGTTTCAAATACAGTAGCGATCAATGAAATGTACTCAGCAGGATTCTTCGAAATAATCTGTCTTTGATAAGTACTGTAAGGATGGGAAGAATTAAATTAGGTTTATTTAGGTATATAGTTAACACGAGTTAGGAATTAATTCAAGTTCATACTTATTTTCAAAAAGTGTCGTGCAGTATTTATAAAAATGGCAAATCATTGAAAAATGACTGAAAGGGAAAAATCACAAATATCACAACATATTAGTTATTATTAAAAAATATTAATAATTGTTATAATTAATTATTTGTTCCTATAATTTTTATTGTTATACGTGTGAAATACAAATTTATTAAGCAAGTATTATTTCTATTGTATATTGTCCTATTTTTATAAATATGTAAAAATATATTAAAACAATTCAACTAAAATGTTCTAATCAAAATTATGGATCGTTAATAATGCCCTTTAATATAAATTTTATGATTTAGTACAGTACTTTGCTTCAGAGTTTAAAGAAAACAATAATTTCGGTGAATATATTTCATTGACCGTTACTGTATATTATTCCTCTTTCAAAAAACTTCTAGATACGAAAACAGTTTGATGTCAAATAAGTTTAAATAAATGTTTCATAGGGGCGTTAAATAAGAGTTAAGTATATGATTACTAGGCTATTATCGTTGATTTACGGAGCGACACGCTCACAAAGCCAACTGCAGCAATGAGGAAGGCTATGTTTGAGGCGGAAGTTGGAGATGATGTATTTGAGGAAGATCCTACAGTAAAAGGTAAAAAAAAAAAATGTATGTATAAAAATTGTGTTTATGACAAAAATCTCTAACTCAAGTTAACCTGTAATCTCAAAAACAATTACCATATAATGGAAAATGTAAGATTAAAATTTATATTAAATTTTAAATGAAAAAGTGGTAAATCAATAAATCATGTCAGTGCGTAATCAATTACAGTGCCTTCATATTCTCTGGTTATTTTTATCGAAATCTATGGGCAATCCAGAAAAAAATTTACTTTTTAATTTTTTGTATAAAATTATAATCTTGCCAATTTAGTCGTAATTTATTAGCTAGCCTGCATATTTTATTTGACTCGTGTAATATATGTTGCTAGTATTAGTATATATTTTGTACTGTCTTTCAGAATTAGAAAAAAAGGCCGCAGCCTTACTTGGAAAAGAAGATGCGCTCTTTGTTAGCTCTGGTACGATGGGAAATTTGATTGCCGGTAAGAACTTAAGAATGACTTGTACAACCTATATATTTTTTTAAAACTAATATTAAAGAACGAATAAAAATTACATACCTATTTAACATCGTTAGAGTGACAAAAGAGGTACTTTCAGTTGCTACAGTAGTTACAAAATTTTCCTCTTTTCCTCAGAATTCTAGATGATTTTTACCCTGTTAGAAAAAATTAAACTGTCTTCTGTATATTTATTCAAACATTATATATTTAAATAAAATATTATACTTGCCTCTCTCAAATGAAATATTACACTATCACTCCTGTTTCCCTTTTCAGTCATGAATCATTGTAACATTCGCGGCAGCGAGGCTTATTGCGGAGAAGAATCACACGTGTTTCTTCACGAACAGGGTGGCGCAGCGCAAGTAGCCGGTGTGACTCTTTGCATGCTGCCCAACAATGAAGACGGCACGTTCGACCTGAAGAAGCTTGAAAGCGCGATTCGCACGGATCGAATTCACGAGCCAATCTCAAAATTGGTTCTTGTAGAAAACACGATTAGCGGAAGAATCGTTCCTCAATCATGGATCGAGGAGTTGACGGCGGTGGCAAAGAAGCATGATCTCAAAATGCATTTAGATGGAGCGCGATTGTGGAACGCCTCAGTCGCGTCGAAGATCTCGGCGAAGGATCTAGTCGCTTCATTCGACTCGGTCACTTTTTGTCTAAGCAAAGGATTGGGTGCTCCCGTGGGATCGGTGTTGTGCGGGAGCAAGAGCTTCATTGCTGATGCGAGGAGAAGGCGCAAGGTATTGGGCGGTGCGATGCGGCAAGTCGGTGTGATAGCCGCGGCCGGACTCGTCGCTCTGGAAGAAACAGTACCGCAATTACTTGAGGATCACAGAAGAGCATTGGCAATCGCACGGGCAATTAATCAGTTGAATTCCAAGATATTTCAAGTAAATATGAAAACCGTGCAGACTAACATGATATTCGTGAATTTAAATACCGAGAGCGGTATTTCCGCCGTGACTCTGATGAAAAGGCTTCATCAAGTAGATGATTTCGACGAGAATGATAGGACAATAGTTCGATGCATAGCTCTGACGGAAAAATTACTCAGAATAGTTCTTCACTACGACATCGACGATTCGATGGTGAACGCTGCTATATGTAAATTAAAATATGTCATCAAGCAGTTAGATCCCCAAGTATAGATATCTAAACTCCTTCGCAAAATCCTTAAAAAAAAAATACCTATGAATTAAGAATAAATTAGATTAGAATAAAATTATAATAGAATTCTGCATTTTGCGTATGCATTATAAGAAATAAAACAATGAATGTATTAAGATAATGCATGAGTAATTAGATTATAGTTCTTCACATAAAATTAAATAGTGTACTTATATTTTCTTCCCATCATTTCACATAAATTTATTGATTTCACAGAGGAATAGCCAAAACTTTTTCAATAGTTATTTCTCAAATTTACTCACCAAAATAATTATTCGAATTTTGTATATATGTGTATATATAAAGAAAAAGTTATATAAACATATTATATATAAACATAAAAGTCCAAGTAATCGCATAGTTGAATGATGGGCGTGATTAATGCTGCGGCTTAACTCTGAAATGCGTCGTTAACAGGTTCGTCATCGTCTTCATCTTCCTCGCCCTCACTTTCAAAGGTATTGTCGGGAATATCGTACAACCGAATCATAGGCTTGTTCGGGTCCTTCATTATCAAGTATTTGCCGTCTTTCTGCTTCATGCATATGTCGATGATACATCTCAGAATACCCCATGCATTGTCCATGTTCAAGTTGATCTGCGTGGCGAATTCGTTCGGCTTATACTGCTGAGTACCGAGAATTACGTGCTTGCTGGAGTCTCGCACGATAGCGCGCGATACATAGCCAAATTTCAGCTGATCTGAACCAGCTAACAACGCCTGTACCGTCCATTTCGCGAGTTTACAGGCATTGTTGCGTAATTCATTAGCCAATACCGCTCCGCGTTGTGTGTCGAGCTTCTGTCGCCACTCAACCCCATTGGCCAGCTTCGAGTCCCACTCGTTCAGCGCCTTAATCGTCAAAAATTGGTTCTCGTTGTTCGGTCCTTGCATCACGGCATCGTGCTCGCAGCGAGCGACGAGCACTATGCCGTTGTTGAGGTCCCACTTGCGATAACGGTAAGCTACGCTGGCTACATCGCTCTCCTCTTCCTCCGCAATAAAAGGATTGCCCTCTTCGAATTTATAACGCGGCTCATTTGACTTGAGTACCTGCTGCGAAAAGTTGTGATTAATGAAGGTTGCCTCGAGCGCTAGATTCCTAGGTGAATTGAGCGTGTTGCCGTCATCTTGCGGCGGCTCGACGCTGGTTTCGTTCACCGTCAGTAGATCGAACTCAGTGTTATCGCGCTTGTCGAAGAACAATTTGTCGCCGATCTTCTCGATGACGATGTCCCACGAGTAATTGCTGCGCGTGCAGCACATAATGGTGGCCAAGATCGCGTCGGTGGCATAAACGTTGCCCTCGGTCTTCGACAACTTACGAACGATCGGATCATCGGTGGTCGTGACTGTGTGAAAGATACGATCAATTCTCTGCAACGGTTTCTCGCTCTTGACATTTACACGGTCATACGTCTTGTCGTAATACTCGAGCGAGCCGCAGCACAGTATGTCTTCGCCATCTTTTACACCAGGCAGCGAGAGCTTAGCCAATCGAGGGAAGTCCATCTCTTCGATGGTGATCCAGTCAGGTCGCACCGTGACGGAGGCATCTCGAATCTTGATAGGCGGTTGATTCTTATGATTGCGCAGACCTTGCTGTCTACCCCAACGTTTCGTCTGCCCCTTACGCTCTCGTTCGCGCAACTTGAGTTTCCCTAACTGTTGCATCTGACTCAACGCGCCGCGTTGACCGCCACGACCACGCATGTTACGTTGATTGTGACGGAAGCGGCCGCGCTGATAAGGCGGTTTCTGCACTCGAGTTGTATCCACCAAGTGGAAGGTAGTCTCATCTTCATCGTGATAATAGGCATATTGACTACCAGAACCGAATTGCGATGTATATTTGTACTAAAAAAAAAAAAATATTTCTTTTTGCCATCACAATACAATGCCTAATGTATTACATATCCATATTAAGAACATGTTATAAAATTCTATTCGTTTCACATATCTTAATTAACATTATACATCTAATTTACAAATAAACAGTAGTAGAATAATATACATATATATTTATCAAATTAAGAAAACATTTTTATATTCTCTCAAACATTGTACATTCCATATTGAATGTAACACAACATGTTAATACAATACTGATGAAATAGAATTAACTATCTTATACATATACTGTAACAAATAAATTAAATAACTATAGATAGTAATTTATTTTATGACAGTATTTTAAATATGGGTGCAATTCAAAGTTAAATATTCAACATAATTAACATATTTATGAAAATCCTGCAAACTTTCAAATTTCAAATGTGATATGAAAAGTTATACTGATTAAAATTTGTCATAATATATGAAACATAATATACATTAAATAATCTTATTCAGTCTTCTTTCCAATTTAAATTCAATCATGTAAATAAAATTTCCATCATCAATCAAATAAAACATGCACTGAAAATGCCAAGGAGGCTTTTGACAATTTTCTGAGAATCACGGAATTTTGAGGTTAAAGCACACGCGAATGATAAATGAATATACGTACTTGGAAACTTTTTGTCTTGGAAGGCCGGTGTAGTCCAGTCGGAGATCTACAAAGTACAACAAACAAAAGATGAATGCGCGTGTTTGTAGTTTATACAAAAGTGAAGATGTTCACGCCTTGCATGCTTACCTTGCCCAACCTGTCGCCTTTGGAAAATGGCTGGTAAGGAATATCCTTAAACTGATCCGGCAACTCGCATGGACCCCAGCCGTCCGGGTTGTGCTGAATTGCCGGCGCCTGAAAGTGCGCTACCTCCTCCTTCTGTACGACACTAGGATCATCCAGTACCACTACGTCTGTCCCTTCTGACATGTCGATATACGATTGAACTTGTTCCGCATCGACTCGACCCGACGACAATTTACTTGACACCACTTGGAACGACGGACCTAACACGAGTAAAAGTTTCCGCTACCGGAAATCCTGTCCACGACATCTTGCCAACAAGACTGCCAATCTTTATTTTGAATAAAAGTCTACCAACCGTTGAAATTGTTGAAAATTAAGTTACTATTTTATGTGTCCAGTGCTGAGCTTTTTGATTAGTGGCCACTTTAGGTCTATATAGTTGGCCCCCCTCCTAACGCAAATCGTAAAAACATTTATATATTCGGATTGTACATCGTTTGTACCATTGAGTAAAAAGAAACAGGAGGGAGCATATACTAGCCAGGACTAGGTAAATCCGCGGACGGATGTACGTCATGGCAGCCATCTTGAGCGACCACTTTTTGAAAGTGAGAGGGAATGCTCGAGCATAGCGGCAAGCGGCATACCGTACGCCGTACGCATTAATATGCAGTGTATAGTCTTTTATGCAACAATGTATGGAAATAAATCAAAATGGTATACTGTAGAGCTTGTGGCATAACAGCAGCAGCTCGAAATCATGGAATAACGTTTCATCGGTTAGTATTATCAACAATAATGAGATTTTTATTTTGGAGGTTATAATCATATGTATAGTATTGTAAAATTGTAGATTCACAATAATTACTAAATAATTTTCACTTACAAACAGGTTTCCGAAAAATCCGGATCAAAGAAATGCATGGATAAATTTTTGTAAGGACGAAGGATTCAATATAAATTTAGATTTTAGATTTTAACATTGCTCTTATGGAAATACTGCACGAGTGCAATCCCAATGAAAAACGCCATTAAAATTTGGTATTATTGTTGCATATTATAGTTATTTTCTTTTAATTGTACATTATTTCCTAATTAAACATAACAAGTCATTCAATATTGGCGCCCTTGAGCGGCCATCTTGAGCGACCACTTTATATAGTCACTTCCGTCCGCACTTTTACGACCAAACGCTCCTTCCTGTTTCTTTTTACTCAATGGGTAATTTAAGCGTGCGGGGGGGACTGCTTTCCGCCATATTGATGTAGCGGATCTCACACAGAGATTCTGTGTCTGTGACATGGTTACACTCGTGTAGTGGTGCCACTAGACATAACGAGTGACAAGCGTAAAGAGGTTAGGCGGGTTTATTATTGTTGTACTATAAATTTTATAAAATACTTTAACTTTTATTACTCTGGGGCTCTGCATACAGTAGACAAAATATTAGAAATAGCAATAAACATTTAATAATTAAAAAAGAAAAATTATTTACATCTAACAAGAGAATAAAATATATTAATTAGTTCTAATTCTTATTCCTTAATTTTTGCATTTAATTTTTTCTATTTTTTATTTAAATAATATCATTTATTATATATATATCTATTCTTTCTTAGTACTGCTTTCACATGAGGCGTAACTTGCGTTAAGCGTAATTTATGTCAGTCAATCAAATCATTCAGCTATCATA